ATCTGGTTTGGGAACACCATGATGCGCAATGTAGTGCACGGGACCTTTATACCTTCTCATTTCATTTTCATTCATCTCTCAAGCTACCTCTCTTTTCACCATGTCATCGATTAGGGATGTATAGCAGACATCGCCAGTTGGATCTTTGAGCAGCTTTTTCTCTAGAGCTTTTAGCTTGACTTCTGCTACAGGTCTGTTATCTGGCAATTGGTGTGGGTCTTTGATCCATGGGTAGCGTACATGCCACCTACCATCCTTGTGCGTTAACCCTTCGTCAATTAAGTTTAGTTCCCTTTCTTCTCTTAAGGTGTATCTCTTAGCTCCTAGGGGGCAATTGCCACATTTACAGCCTCCACACCTTGGACTGCATCTAACACCAATGCTCTCGATATCTAAAAAGTCAAAATCAGGTTGTTGTTTAATCTGCGTTAAGTTGATTGAGTTTGATTCACTTCTGCACATGGAGTGTTTTCCGAAGATCATCTTGCCGAATGGCCCTTCACACAAAGCAAGCTCATCTACAGTCTTTAGAACACTCGGGAACAGATTTGCATTATCAGCCCCAATGAGTAATTCTACTGCCCCAGTAGGTCGTTCTACTTGACGTTTGTCAACTCCCAACATGCTTGCCATTCTTGCAGTGTCTTGTTGTATTAGGTTATTGGTGATGTGCGGCATACCAAATACCTCTATCTTAATGTCTGCTTCTCTCGTCTTCAATGGTAGGATATAACTGTACGTGTCGATACACTCGGTCTCACCACCAAACTTAGTGATAGAAAATGTTAGCGGCTTCCTTTTTAATTTTAGTCTTTCAGCCATCTCGGATAGGATGGCGGAGGATGTACAAGCGGAATCGAACATGGCGGCGATCCCTTCTCCTCTGCACGTGTGTTACTCTTTGGCCATCAAAATACATGGAGAATGCGTAATAGAACCATTCTGTTGTGCTGCATTCGCCATTCTGCCATTCCCCAATGAGTTTGGAATTGTCGTAGGGTTGCTTTGTTGCGTCGCATTAACAACTTCCATTTCTCGGTGCGTAATGTATCAATGGGTGATGTTTCCTAGTACAACCCTCTTTATCGCAACGTCCCAATTTACAGAATTTCACTTGGTGTCCTATTTTTAGACATCTGAAACAGGCTCTTTTTTGTTTCATTAGTTCGATTCTGTCATGAACGGTCATAGACTTGAACATTTTACAATCCTGCGTTGTTTGTTTACCATCCTCGTATATCAAGCAGCTTTCGTCCGGCATTTTCCCTGTCGACACAAAATTGACTGTGCTGCTGTGCACATTTGGTCGTGGTGCAGCCCATTGCAAGCCTGACATCATGTATCTCAGACTCTTACTCTCCTCTTCCAGAAAGTCTGAGAGAATTTTTAGTTTCCCGTCTTTCTCCACTTTATCCTTTCCTTGTGGATCGTGGATCAGCCTGACCCACCTTCTCCTCTGTTCTTCCGGTAATCTACTCTCAATTTCGGAGATAACTCGGGCGTTGTTCATTTCGTGCTCGATGGCCATCCACTTTAGGTTGCGGTGGCAATTAGCCAAAATTAGTTCGATGAATTGAATTATTTGGCTATCCTCTCCCTCTTTCAACGGCTTCTGCTTTAAGATATCTCCAATGAGAGCATTTACCAACTTGTGTCTGTCGCCATACTTCTCGTCTAACAAAGTCCACATTTGCTCATAGACGTCCTCTGCTGCCTGCACTACTTTGTTAACCTCGTTTTCTAAGCAGGATCTGAGTCTAAATGACAATTGTTCTGGATGAGTTGCCTTCTCTACGAACTTCTTGAAGTCCGTCTTAAATCTCGTGTATGTTGTAATATCTCCAGTGAACTTCAGTAGCTCCATTTTCTTTAATTCTATTTTATGCAATTGGGATTTTTTTCGTACTTCCTTCTTGGTAGTCCTGAGACTCCTTTGCTGAAAGTTCCTCTTTTTGCTTATGTTGGTAAAGAAGTAACCGGATAC